ATATATATATATAGATAGATAGATAGATATGTACACACAAATATCAAAATGGCAGATTACACTTGGAAAAAAAGGAGCAACTTCCTAAATCCCCTCCTGATCTGGAACAATTCATGCATGGTGAAATAGCTCTCCACAGCCCCACAAAGGCTCATTCACAGCAGTGTGAAATGTGAAACAAACACGCTGCCTGCCCGCCCGCCGTCCACGTAGGACGTGGCATCGGCATCAGGAACCTCACTCTGTTTTTTTTTTTGCTACCTGCTCTGGGCCTTGGAAGCAGATCCGGCACTGGGGGGTCCGCAGGCTGCTGGCGGTGCTGGCCAGGGACACGGCGTCCAGGCCCACTTGCAGCTTGGGCTCCTTCTCCTCAAACGCCAGGCTCCGGGGCCGCGGGTCGCTGCCGTAGTACTCCTCCTCGTCGTCCCGGGAATGGCAGTCGACGAACGGCGGCCAGCCGCAGCCGCCCATCCCCAGACCTCGCATAGTGGTGTTGGTGTTGGTGTTGGACCGTCTATCTGTGTCTGAGCTGGACTGTCTTGAATCGGATCGCATAAACACCAGGACTTTCAGTTCATTAAAAAACATGCGGATTCGATACTTAAACATGTTTGGCCACATAAAGAATCCGAAATAAATAAATTAAGTGTTTTTGTCTCCCCTCCCCTCCCTCTCTTATTGTTATTATTATTACTATTATTATTATTCATACATCCGATATGTTCATGGTTACTGTAGTATGTTCTACGATGCCACAACTGCTAATTGGAAAATCCAGAGAGGAGATAAAGGCTCTCGCCCCACTGATGGCATGTGTGTCTAAGCCAATGCGGATGAAAGATTTTCCCTTTCAGCTGGCCGACACACTCTTTCAATATTCATTACTCAAACAACTCAGCAAACGCCGTCTATCTGCGTCTTCCACCGCACCCCAGAAAACATTACAACTTGCACGGTTTTTGATTTCCACGGTCCATTTTCCTGCGCTCTCAAATACACCTTTTGTTATTGTTGTTGTTGTTTCGCTTTGTTTGGTTTTGTTTTCCACACGCACCGAGGCTCGCGGCAAAGAAAGAAAGAACGAAAGAAAGAAAGAAAGAAAAAAACAGCCTACATGTTTTTTGCTACCCGAAGCAGAAGACCGCGAGAGAGTGGACGAGTGGAGGAGAGAGCAACACAGAGTCAGGAAATAGACGATGGGATGTAAAATACAACGACATGCCATCCACACAGCCACATCTGAGACTCTTGTCAAGAATCATAATCCAATAAAAATAGAAAAGAAGAAAAATTAGGGTGCGGAAGATGAAATGGAAGTTTGATCTGGATGTGATTATAATGTCTTTTTTTGTCCCTCTCACTGTAGCATCCCAAGCGTCAGATCATGGTCCCCCCTTTTTTCTCCCTTTTCTCTCTATTTCATCTCCTTTTTGTAAAACCCCGGCTTGATCCACGAAGAATCCGTGCCATTCACCCCGACAATCCACGTCGACATCAAAAACACAATCCTGTGCATTTGCATTTCTTCTTTCCGTCTCTCTTTCCCCTCTCTCTCTCAGCAGCCTAGCTGGAAACACGGCAGCACAAAAACACCCGAAAGCCCCGTGCTTCCCATCTTCGCTCGATGTCCATCAGCATTTCATTGCAAGCCCAGAACACGGGAGGCAACGCTGAAATGCCAGAGAGAGGCAGAATAATAAAGGCACCCTGCGATTTTTCTAATTAGAGAGAGACGGGGAAGACGCGTGAAGATGTCTTCGTTTCCGACAGCAATTACACGGCAGTAATGGCATTGATTATTGGATCAGATAGATGGTGGTGATGATACTGCTGGCGCTGATTTTCCTCCTCGAAATGGTCGGCTTGGAGATTGAACCAACGCAGCAGCTACTTCCGGAACAGGGAGAAAGGCGGAAAAAAATAAAAGACTGTCATCCCGTAAACACGTCGCTGCTTTTCCTCCAGCCATCCGTCCGTTTCCCGATGGTTGAAACGCCTCTCCCCGTGCTCCCAGCGGCTGGGCAGGGAAGGAGCTCTGGCTGCTTTATTATTGACCAGGCGCCGCTGTCCAGGGTGCTGATCTCCCTCTGCTGACGTGCGCGCTGCGGCCACATGCGCCGGGAGCCCGCGAAGTACAAACCCGCACCAGGACCCCTCTGCTCGTGACACCGGACTAAAACTCTAGCAAAGGTTAACCCTACAAGTTCCGAGGAAGCTTTTTAAATAAGCAGCTTGGAAGAAAAACAGTTTAAAGGAGGTGCAGGATGTAACGAAGGTGTTTGGTTACTTGTTTAGAGTAATATGTATCTTTGTTTTAGGTAACCCTGACCCCAGTGGACACTTTTCCGGACATATTTGCACTCTGCATTTTTAAGAAAACATTTCCACATTAAGAAGCATGCTTTCAAATATTTATTGATTATGCATTGATCTGTGTAATTCCTTCTGTCAGGCACTTGAGCAGCTACAGGTGGACGGATGCTGTAAGATAAAGACACAATATTAGCCACACTTGTAACTGTGTTTTAGTGTGGGTGCTGCTTTTTAGTGCAACCTGTTTTCTCCTTTGTCTTCTCCAGGGTGTTCGGACCCCTTGGGACACACTTGAGAGTGCTTGGAAACACCAAGCAGGAAGTTGGTGGAGAGCTGCCACCTTAAGCTTTTAAATTTAAACTTGGATAAATAAAAATAAGAAAATGTGGGATGTGTTAAATCCTGTCTCTGCCTGCGGTGACTCTAGCTTCGCTGCTCAGTGGTCATTTGTCACAAGTACATATTGCACATAATACAAAGAAGTCACATAAAAGTAAGCCATACATCTTCATAGACAGTGTGCCGTTTTTTTCTTTAAAGCGAGTAGAAGTTTGAAACCCTGGAATCTGAACAGAGGTAGAGGCTATTTTGGTATCTGCAGCACTTACTCTGGCCAGACTCTTCAGTCCGGAAAATTCCTTTAAAAAATGTCCGGCTGAAGCATATATTTCTAAATCTAATCAAGTACTTCTATTGGCTAACCCTAACTAAGTTTTTCATGATAATCACTGAGGTGTGATTAGACCATCTCAGTGTCCTAAAAAGTAAATCGTCTGGTACTTATACAGCACCTTTCTACTCAGTTGAGCACTCACAGCACTTGTTCAGCCAGTCACACATTCAGATGGATGCAAACTTGGAGTTTAGTATCTTGCCCAAGGATACTTCGACACATGGACTGGAGGAGTCAGGGATCACTCCACTGACCTTCCGATTGGTACACAACCAACTCTACCACCTGAACCACCGGTGCCCCAAGGCAAACAACACAACCAAAGACTGTGTTAATGAGTCCCAATAAACATGGTGCATAAACATCTGTCCTGTATTCATGTCTAAGAATGTTTTTTTTCAAAGACAGTAAATATTAGCCAAATCCGATCCTTTTTCGAATGAAGTTTTGTTAGTTTGTTTGTTTAATAACTAAAGCATGAGTTAGCTGCACAAATGAAAACAGTCTCAAACACTACACAGGCACAGCTGCAGAGGTGTGGTAACAATGGTTAGAGCTACAGAGCTACATGGCTATAAACACATTAAGAAAAAGCAGGATGGGGGTTAAAGTGTGTGGACACAAACACCACCCTATGGGACGAAGAAGACACAGAAAACAGACCAAACTACATCTGCATGACGAGACCAAACACTTTAATGCCTCATGAAAGAATCACAATCTAAGCTCTAGTAATTCTTTCATGAGGCATTAAAATGGCAAGGCATTTAGCTCAAACTTGCTTAACGGTGCTAATGAAACATGATTTAGAACTAAATTGTGTTCGTCTGAATAGCTTTGGCCACTCGGGTCTTGTTAAAACCAAGAGAAAAATCCAGAAAAAGGGTCAATACATCACCATTCAACAAGCAGAAACTGTTGACTACGTACAACAATGTGCTGTTCTTAACAGAAATGTTTTGACTTAAATGATTGATTATGTAACCCGAGTTGTTTATGCTGCCTCCTAGTGGCCGTTTTTTGTAATGATTGGGCCAGTTTTTTAGCTTCTCGCTGGAGTGTTAGCTGGCCATGGAGAATGCAGCTGCACACATGCTGTGCCTTTGAGTTTATTTGCCTGTAATCAGCTCCTTTACTACTTTTGATAGCTCGATAGTGATTGCTCTGTCATAGTGTTTCTTATTTCCTCTGACGTTTTAAATCGTATTAATTTGAAGAAGCTAACTGGAAGGTGCCATCTTGAGTAAGCTAGCTCATTACTCGTGTGTTCTGCCTTCTCGGTAAGCTGCGAAGTAGTTTGATTTATTTTGCTGATTCTGCTGCCATTTGCATGGAGTAATATGCTTGTATATTTCTGTGATCTTTCAGTTTTATTCCGCTGATATTTGTTCAATAAACCTTGCAAAGAATTCAAGGACTTACATCTATGTGTTAACTGGCTGTCTGGCTCTGCCTGAAATGCACTGCGAGGACAGCATACATCAGTATAACTTGAAGAGTGCAGATAATCAGTAGAGCAAAGAAGAAAAAGTTGTGACAGTTCTTTAAAAAAAACTCCAGTATTTAGTGTGCTGAAATATTGTGTAATTTGATAGTTAAGTCATCTGAAATGTTAAACGTCTCTTGGGTGGAAAGTGATAATAACTCTTCGTGAGTTATGAGTTAAATAGACACAGCATTTTGGTAAAACGCTGTAATTTAAAAATTCTGAAATCAACTGGTTTAATACAACAGAGCTTAAATCAAACTAGTAACAAAACTGCTGAATCAAGTACAAGTAATCTAAATTGTACTCAAGTGCAGTCATTTTTCTTGCCTCTGGCCTCATATCTGGTGTCCTTTCCAGCTTTTCTCATTACCTTTTCCAACCCTGACAGCACCACTCCGCCTGAGGATAATTTCTGCAACACTGAGACCATATTTCCGTTATTCACTCCCAAAATTAAACTCTTAATGCGGTTTATAAGCCTCCTTCTCACATCCAGGAGTGGGTATTGAACCTTAAAAGAACTAGTTTGACATTTAGGCCATGTTCACAGCCAGTATAGCCCTGCAGTGAGATTCAGCACAACAACAATGCGGGGTTGGAAAAGAAAAAGTCGAACCAAACTGTTGCTGCAGGATCATCTGGCAAGATGTTGTGTTGGTCTGTCAAATACATGCTGCACTTCTACCTCACAGTGTAAACAGGTGCCACAGGGTTTCCAGAGTTATAAAATCCTGTCTGACAGTAAAGCATGGATTACTGAACGAGCCTAAAGATTCAGTGGGTGTGTGTGCAAAGTGTCAGACAAAGATACATAAAATGACAGTAAAAAGAAGCCAATCATCACAGGAAGAGAGCAAGATAACTGTGGAGATACACAAAAGGAAACTTAAAATGACCACACAGTGACAAAAAACAGGTGCAGAGACTGAAACATCTACAAAAAACATAAAGTGAGAACAAAAATATATTATTCCTCACAAAAAGGAGGAAAAGACAACAATAAATGAAAACTTAAAATGACATTAAAGTCTCAAAAATTGACATCGTAGGGATGCAAAACAGCTGGTGAGCCTAAAGCATCTAAATAGAGACATGGTGACAATGAAAAAGAGATAATGAAAACTATAAAGAGACACAAAATAACCACATGGACTCAAAACTGCTGCAACAACAGAAACATTTGTAAAGACACACAAAATGACAACACAAAACAATTACACTGACAGAACAATAACAGTGATGAAATGCAAAAGGACCACAGAAATTGCAACAAGCACTAATCACAAAGAAAGAGAAAATGACAACAAAAGCAAATTAATGATCACATTTAGTAGATCACAACAATGATGAACAGCCACGTAACCACAAAAGACTCAAAATGACCACCTAGAGATGCGAAACAGTCACAGAGTCGTTTCTGAGGAGAAACAAAAGGACAAAAAGAGGTAATCTGTCACTTAAACAGACAAAGACAACCACAAAGAGACATGGAAGGAACACAGAGATTTAAAATGACATTAAAGAGAATGAAGATGGTCAGGCAGAGACTCAAAACATGGAGACAGTAAAACATCTGAAAAATGACACAAAGTGACAACAAACCAGGGCAACAGATAAAAATATGAAGACAACAATGAAGAGATATGAAAGGACAACAACGAGACTCTGAAATGTCATAAGTCACACAAATGAAATGACCAAAAAAGATGCAAAAAGCAAACAGAGTTACAAGCAGACCACAAAGAGATGAAAAAATTAGGTCGGTCATCGCAACAAGAAAATAAGTCAACCATGAAAAGACATAAAAGGACCAAAAAGAGACTCATAGAGTCACAAAATGACAAGAAACACAAAAGAAGACCATTATGTTAACTCACAGAGTTGCAAAGGCCTTTTTGAGGGTCATGGTTGGATTACCGAATTAGCCCACAGGGCTCAGACAGTCACTGGGACCACATGCAAAGTGTTATACATTACAAAAACAGTGAAGAAAGATAAAGGAGCCAACAAGAGGCTCAAAATATCCCTAGAGTCACAGAATGACCACACAGAGATGCAACATAGCTACAGAGACTGAAACGCAAACAAAAAGACAAACAATGACAACAAAAAGTGGCCAGGCATCACAGAAAGGGACCAACACAACTGTGATGATCAGTGGTCACATAAAGAGAGCACTGCAATGGTGAAGAGACATATGATGGCCAAAAAAAGACACAGAATAACCACAGAAACACACAAAAAGCAGTAAAGAGTTCAAGATCTACAGGAAGAAACAATATGACAACAAAGAGGCCAACTGCCACACAAAAAGATAAAGACTACTGTGGAAATACACAAAAGGACCACTGAAAGACTTGAAATGTTACACACAACAAATGACCATAAAGAAACAAAAAACAAAAAAAAAGACACAAATTGTCAACCGAGCTATGAGAAGACTACAACGAGATGGAAAAATGAGGCCGTTCAGCACAAAAGAGAAAAGTCAACCATGAAAAGACAAGAAAGGCTCACAAAGAGACTCAAAATGGCTTTAAAGTGTTAGAAAACGAAAATGGACAAACACGAAGACAAAGTTGCCACTGTTAACTTTACAGAGTTGTAAAGAGCTCGGAGTCAAAGTCGGTCACATTTCAACTACGA